GTGGTTTCAGCAGTGTCAGCAAATATTCCTCAAAGTTCATCTCCGACCAGCCCGGATCCTCGGCCTGCACACAATCAAAGGAACTACAGCCCCGTGGCAGGTCCCAGCAGCGACCACAGCGCCCACACCAGTACTCCCAGTATAAGTAACAGCCAGCCAAGCACTCCAGCTCCGACCCTTCCGGTTCAGGACCCTCAGCTTCTGCATCACTGCCAACACTGTGACATGTACTTTGCGGACAATATCCTTTATACCATTCACATGGGATGTCACGGATTTGAAAATCCTTTTCAGTGCAACATATGTGGGTGTAAGTGTAAAAATAAGTATGACTTTGCTTGCCATTTTGCAAGAGGCCAACATAGTCAACATTGACTGACAACGTGCTTTCATCTAGTTTTTTTTAACGTATTACAGTATATTTTTCATACTTGTTGAAGGAAAGCTTGCACATTCCCATAAGGAATCTTCACATTAATTTGACAAAGGAGGCAAATTTATTTCTATGTTGTCGTCAAACTTGCCAGGGAAATTTTGTATAAGATGTGATCGTTATTTTATATGTAGCCTTTGAAAGCTGAAAGAGTGCTATAAAAATAGGAATGCATTTACATGCTTTGGTTGCTAAACTTTAAGTTGCTTGCACTTGATCCCAATAAAGATTCTATAAATGTAGAAGCAGAGCATGTGTCCTGAAACACAGAATGCAATTATCAGAATACTTACTAGGCAAGATGAAATATATTAACCGTAAAATATGAAAGGTTGGTGCAATGACACCTGTGGTTACTTCGGAGACGTCCTTATCCTTCAAAACTTAGGCGCTCCAAGCTGGGAAAACAAACAGAAGCAACTTTTACATGCAAGTTCAATTTGATGTAAAACTTGCTTTAATCTGTTGAAGGTTAATACGAAGTTTTTGCTTAGTTGTAGTCTAAACCCTTCATGTAAAGACTCAAAACACTAATTTAACTATTTTTAAAACTCGTCACAAAACTGGAACAGTTATTGTGAATGAAACTCTGGTAGGAAAAAGAGAGTTAAAAGCTCATCATGCAGTATTACACAAGAGGAAAATTAAACGTGACACCTTATTTTAAACTACACTTACCGTACTGTTACATGTCATTCTTTTTAATAGGAAGCAATTTGTAAACAGTCATAGTAAAGAGCTCTTAGAACTAATATATATTCCATGAGATTTTTTAACTGCCTTAAACTAATTTGTACAGATATTTAAAACTTGCACAATTAGACTTCTGTCTTGCTGATAGAAGTTCTAACAGAAACAAACAGAAGGTTTACAAATTAAAAAGCATTTGTTCAGTTTTCTCTCGGGCCAAGCCACAGCTGAGAGGTTGCCTGTATGGTTGACAGTTGTTTAATCTGGTTTATGGTAAACTTCAGCTAACCTGGGAGTCAGTTTGTCTTGTCCTCTTCCCCCCAAGATTTGTTGACCTTTTGGTGTGCTAGAAATTAGGGGAAGATCTGGATTTTCTGAACTGTTCATAGGCAAATGCTGACAGCAGGACGAATTGCAGGTGGCAGATGGTAACTAAAGATGTACATGATGTCCATTGCACTTGTTTACTATTTTCTACTGTACATCTTACTTTTAGAAGCACCTAGGCTAATGGACAGGCACTTTAATAGAAACCTAAACAAAACATCCTAGCAAAATTAATACAAGCTCATAATATGCTACACAGGAATTTGTTTCAAAAAAAAATAAATGAAGAACTTTTACTTTTCCCATATTTAGATACGCACTTTTACCTTAGTTTGTCTTAAGACAAATTAAAGCTTCTCTTGTATATTCCCTTTTTACTATCAGCAAAACATGGCAGCAAATACGTTTTGTTAAAAGCAGGAAGATTTTATTAATGTTCTGCAAGACAGAGGTTGGAATCTGAATAGCAAATGTTTGGCTTATTCAAATTTATGTTGTTCTGGGAGCTAAAGCTTCCTGAAGCCAATGGAAACACTGACAATGACTTCAGTGTAAGGAAAAACCACCCTTCTGAGAACTTCAGCTGTAGAAGTAATTTTGACTGTAAGGAATAAGAAATTTGGGAGCTGCTTGTGTTTCTCTCTGCCTGACTTACCTACTGTTGAATTTTCCAGTCGAAGGAACTGGATTCTTGGCTGCGCGTTGTCTCGTAGTAACAAGGTAGAAAATACACCGTTGAAGTATTTCCAGTGTTGTGAAGATGTGTGTTAACTCGCTGCCACTCCTAAAAATGCTTTTGGTTTCAGGCCTGGTTCAAAATCCATTTTAGTGGACTTGTAAAACAGAATGTAACTTCCATTTTTCATAATGACACTCTTCAAAAATATATTTTTGTTGCTTTATACTTCTAAAATTCATTTTACAAGCAAAACAGAAAATGTGTATGCATACACATACGGAGTCCTTTAATTTTAATGGACACAAGCTGGAACACAGGAGGTTCCACTTTGAGATTTCAGAAGAAACTTCTTCTCAGTGAGGGTGACAGAGCACTGGCCCAGGCTGCCCAGAGAGGTTGTGGAGTCTCCTTCTCTGCAGACATTCAAAACCCGCCTGGACGCCTTCCTGTGTAACCTCATCTGGGTGTTCCTGCTCCGGCAGGGGGATGGGACTGGATGAGCTTTTGAGGTCCCTTCCAATCCCTGACGTTCTGTGATTCTGTGATTTTAAGAACTAAAAGCTGACTGAACTGGAATCCAGTTGGAAGTTACTGGTCCTGTACACCTATTGTACCATGACTCTTCCAGTCAAATTAAAATGTAGAAATGATAGAGGTTTTTTTTGTTTGCATATTGGTATGTACTAAAATCTTAATTTGGCTAAAATATGATATTGGAACTACAAACAAAACCTCTATTCCTGGGCTCTAGCAGCTTCAAGGATACTTCTCCAACACTGAATGATGCTGATGACAACAGCTGAGCTCTCCTCAGTTTCCAGCCTTTCTCCCTCTTTCTCTCAGTAGGAAGATTAACTCCAGCGTGCCCAAATGTTTGAGACTTCATCCTTTCATTCCATTTATGCCATTTCTGATCCATTAGGACTTACACTGGCAGTGCCTGTAAGCCGTAGAGAGATCAAATCCTTCTTGGAACTGTTTTTTTTTGCTGGATTTGGTGTTCAGCCCTGGATTCTGCAGCCAGACCTGAGAGGTGGGTCCCTGCCCACGTTCTGGTCCTTCGGAGGGCCACCCTCTGAATTAGGATCCTTAATTCTTCAGCGTAATTCTGCGTGTTCAGATGTGCCAAACTGTACCCTGACTGTATCTGTTTCCTTCTGTCTACTCAGTAGGTCTGGAGGGTGTATTTTCATCTTAGTTTTTCATCATTTTGTACATGCTATAATTGAAATACCAGGATTAGTACTGGAAAATTGTTCTTGAGCGTGATCCTTGTGATTCCCTTGCACCAGGAATTACTCAGTGAGGGCTCCTTGTCAGGAACTGCAGGATCAAGTCCTTGGGTAGGACTTTTCACATTGAGTTCTCCACATGCTACACTGCACTAACTTGGGTTTTTTTATTATTTTTTTTTAATCCTTGCATCATAAAGTGGTGATTTGTTAACTTGCGTTAACAGGGAAGTTTGGGAATGAGCTGAAATTTTTCCATAGCTTGACTCTGTTCAAAATTTTGTAGCTGCAAAACATTAACTTTGTGGGGTTTTTGGTTTTATTGTAATAGCTTATGTTCTAGATTTGTTGACATTTGTAACATGCAGTATTTATTGTGCTCTTCACGCAGATGTATTGAGACTGAATATTCCAATGAACGTGCAAATAGTAGACGGAAGATCTTGGCAGATTATTTCAGTCAAACCAACCGTGAAGCTGCTAATAGGAAAAAATAATTGGTTTTTTCACAGATAAAATGTTTAGATGAAGAAGATTTTGACAGAAAATGTTGATTGGCATTTTAAGATAAAACTCAGTGCTGCAAGACGTGTTCCAACAGTGTTTCCTAGCAAAATGGTCTGTTGCTGTTTGCTTTGTTTCAGAATGTTTGGGGGGTTTACTTGTTTGTTTTCGTTTCTCCTTTTGACGAAGGGAATGTAATTTAGAAGTCTTCACTGGCAAGTTTTCTATTAATTTTAAGCTTCTTTGAAAATCTACAGCAAATGGATGTTCTGCTGCAGGAAATCTATTCCCTGCTGAAGCATTTTTCATTGAGCGGTCTTTGTGTATGTGCTTCTAAGTACCTGCTCTATTAATAATCTGTATTTCCGTGTAAAGGGCGTATTTTGTATGCAAGAAAGAATGAAACCTGTTACGAGTTGTAAAGAAATTCTATTGTGTAGTGAATGTCTTCAGATGACAAGGTTAATTCTGAAATAACTCGACTATATCTGGTGTAGTTCATGTTGTGAAACTTTGCTTTTGTAAGATATGAATAAAATAACACTTTCTAATCAAGTCTCATGTTGATTACGTGTGCTTCAACAGGTGGAACTGGTGAACTGCTCATGATTAGCTGTGGTCTGGGTATGGTAAGGAAGGTAAGGTTACCTTTTGGGTAAGCAAGGAACAATGTATTTATGTTTTAGTCTGCTTTAGTTGAAAATACTTGATTTTAGAGCTGAGCCAGGACATGCTTCAATTCCTTTCCACTTAATTTTTCCACATTTGGTTATCTTCCGAGTACTTTGTTTCCTCATATTTCATTATCAAGAGTGCTTTTAGGGCTGAAATGAGTTTTTATCATGGTTAGGTGAACAGGAAACACAACTGGATGACTTCTAGGTGTTCCTCCCAAGCTAACTTTTCCTATGTGTTCTGTAATTTAAAATCTAAGTGTGGTTTGTTGTTGGCTTGATCTCCACAGTCAAACATAAGGTCTGTATTGTGTTTCTGTCCCATAACGTGGGGAGAGGAGGTGGAGAAGGCACAAGCCTCCAGAGAAGGCAGCTGTATCTCAGGTGTTTGTAGCTGTACTGCTCAAACAGTATTGCATTTTAAATCCTCTGGACTCTTAAAAAATACCAACATTATGTCATTATTTTAAAATATATTTATTAATTACGTTGGCTGCCTCATGTTGGAATGAAGAAATTGGACTTGTAGCAGGGTCAGGGTATCGACTTTGTATGCAATTCTGGTTTTTCAAATTATTTCCTTGCCGCAAGCCTTCCAAAAATTCTGCTTTGAGTTTGTTGAGTTCCTCTGCCAGGCTCTTCATCTCACTTGGGTGCACATGTTTATCTAAAAGAAAATTAAAGCTGGACTTTTTTAACTTCCTGTTAAAGACAAAACTTACAGACTTTGACTCACATTCTATAAATAACTGACCACATTTCTGAAGATTGCCTCAGTCATAGCCGTGTGGTTGGGATTCCTTAATTTACCTCAAGGGAATTTCGCGAGTTTAGTCTTACCTCGCAGGCACCGAGAATGGGCTACGCATACCTTTTGCATCCTTCATTGTCTGTGAGATGATGCGTCTGCACATCTGATCCGCCTGATGAACAGTGCTAGCAGCACAGATTGCTCGATCCGCTTCCTATCCGGGGTGACAAAGGAAGGAAGAATACATGCAAACACATCACATTGGATTGAGACTTTTGAAGCGCTCTGAAAACAAGTCACACGCTAGCAGCAACTCAGGGCCTGGTCTGAATTCAGAGGTGTGTGTGACATTAGGAAGTGAACGTTATTTTCCTCCGTGGGATGTGACAGCTCCAAAAGGCATTTGTTTTACTACTCTAGAAAACCTAACAGTACTCTTAAAGGTAATTCAGTGGTAATTAAAGGCAAATTTAATTTAAAAGTAAAGGTAATTAAAAGTAATTCACTTAATAAGGTGCCAGAAGTACCCATTTTAAACAGGATTAACTTTTCTGTGTATGCTTTTGCAATCGAGAAACGTATTTCTCCGTTTTAGCCGGGGAATGACTAACTCACTCCTGCATCATCAGCTGAAAGAACAGTGACTGAAGACAAGCAGCACTACCTTTTGCTCAGTGTTCTCCTCGTTTTGCTTCACTGGATTTTCCAAAGCAGTGGCCAGCAAACTAATTATCTGCTCACTAAGAACACAAAGAAAAGAGCAAACCACATTAATCAAACAGTTTCACTGAAGAGTTTTCTTTTGGTTTCTAATGACACCTCATCACAGGAAAAAAAAGCAAGTTTTCAGTTAAATTTATGGGGCAATCAATGAAATAATCTTTATACAGCAAGTTAGATGAAAAACAATTACACACAAAACTACAGCCAATTATTTCCAGTCTTAATGTTTTGGATAATTTTCATAAATTTTCAGCAACGGAAAGAACTGCAGTGAGGTTTGATGTTAACTCTACAAAGAATGATGGCTCTGAGTTCCCAACCACTGGCACCTGTGGTATGTAACTGCCTGGCTTCCAAAAATCACCACATGGAATACTTTTAACATACTGTTTGGATACATTGAAAAGTTTCTACCCCTCTGTTTTTGAAAACCCTAGCATCGATACAGTAGCATACTTATCCTCTGGAGAGCAATCCAAACTTTTCAGAATGAGACTGTTCTGCTCCCAAGCGTTTTTCTCAAGGTCTGGCATTTCTATTTTCCTTGCCATTAAATATATTGTTTGGTCAGGTAAGGGCTGACTTCTTTGACGGTTTCTCTGCAAGCAGCATTCGAGTGGACACTCCAGAAATATCTGGCAGAAGCCCAAGGAATCTAAAAGTACATACACAGATGATTTTACCTTTAAATTGTTCAAGTAAAAAAATCTGAGAGCTACATGCATGAGAAAGGCTTTATGCGAGTAACTTTTACACCAAGTCTGAGCCTGAAAAGAATACAAACCTGAAAAGAAAGAACACAAACTATTTTACCTTCAAGGCTGCTCAAGTACTAATTTCTGAGATCAACATACATAAGAAAGGCTTTAAGTGACCTGGCAATTACTAATAATACAGTAATAAAGGGAAGTTGCTGCTTACTATACTGCAAGAATAACAATTTTTGTGCAAGATTACTTAAAAGAAAGGCAGTTAAAGTGAACTGAATTCCCTACAAAGCTGGAAACATTCTTACACATAGGAAGAAAGAGGAATTACATTTGCGAGCCAGCTGGTACACCTCGTATCTCATGCTTTGGTAATAAAAATTGTCATCCAGAATCAGGCAGAGCGGCCTGGAGGCGGCTGAGGGTCTCCAGCAACGGCCAGTTTCGCCAGGACTCTCCGCCGAGGCGAGCAGCCCCTGCCCGCGGCAGCAGGCCAGGAAGCGCTCCCAGGCCGGCTGCCCGGCGGCGGTGGGGGCTGACAGCGGAGCCCCGGTGAGCAGGGCCTGCAGGAAGCGTTCCAGGCATTGCAGCAGCTCGCGTCGGCTCTGCTTCCAGCGGGGCAGCTGCGGAGGAAGGCAGCGGAGGGGTAAAGGTCCGG